AGCTTAAGTAAGAAACCTCAGAGCTGAAATCTTCTTTCCAGGCATAACAAAATATTTTCTGACAGGTGTGGATTCCTAAATGCTGAAGAATCAGTCTTTAGACCCAGGAGTGTGCCTCTGCCTAAGAGAAATCATCACTTTCCAGTTGAAATCTTCAGTCTAAACTAAGCTCCTAAAATGGCTAACTCATTTAAGACTGAAGAAAGTTTCAGAGCTATGTAACTCTTCTTGTTTCAGCAAATCAACCTGAGTCAAAATGTATTTGTCATTTAGCTGTAAACACGATTGCCAGCTGGATACTGTCTTTCTAACTGCTGTGGCTGCAAAACACAATCCAATCTCCCCCTTAAACCCTGCACCATCTTGTCTTTCAATCCTGAGTTTTGCGGTCTTGGTGATAAATTTTTCTTGGCATACCACTGCATCAATAAGTAAAATGAAAAAATATATTAAAAAGTCTTGTTTCTTCCAAGAGCTTTAGATGTAAAGCAAGCAGACCTTGAAAGCATCAAGCCTTTCTTATTTTCCTGTACTTTGGTAGTTAGAAGCCAACAGCATTACAGTGCCTCAGGCTATCAAGATTATCGAGACATTGACTGCCTCCAAAAAATATCCAGACCTCTTATCACATTAAATATCCTTGGATCCCACAGATGTTACTACCATGAAAACAACTGCTTCATCTGAAAAGGAAATAAAAGAAATGGAAATGTATTGATTTCTACCTGTGAGTGCAAACCACATGAAGCAATGCATTTTGCCTTCTCCCCCTCCTGACTCCCAGACAAAATCAACCCATTCCTGCTACCTCTATCAAGTGATTTTATTTTCTGCATTTTGGCCTATTTTGTTCTGGTTGAGATTGTTTCGAGGATTTCCTCCTTGGATTTGTGTGTGTGTGTGAATATCTTCTTTTCCTTGGCTTTCAGCTAGTGTCCCTGCTGGGAGTTTAATGTTGCTGGGTTTTGGTGGCTTAAATGTATTTATTTATTTATTTTATGGGAGTATTGGTCACTTCTCATTTATCACCTTCCCTAGGAAGACAGCAAGCGTTCCTCAGGTCTCAGCTGTTATTTCCACTAGCCCTGTGCTCCGAGTGTGTTTGTGCACAGTCTCCTTCACACATGCCATTGGGATTGCATTGGTAGGAAGAATTCCTGCTGAGCTGCAGCCTCAGCTGGCCCCCAGCTACTATGTGAAAAAGGAAGAAAGCGTTAAGGCACACATTCAAAAAAAAGCAAGCAGGTGCCTAATGCTGATCTGTAAAGAGCCACCAACTGTCCTTATACTGAAATCAGTCAATGTAAAGTAAAAATACCCACAGAAGAAGAAAGGGTGCATTTTCCTGCATGAAGGACACTGGGCCAGGGCAAGTGGCCTCCCTCACGGAAGATGAATTGGGAGCTGGATGTTGAACCCAGATCTGCTGGGTTTTGCACTTTCTGTAAATGAAAGAACACAATACCTTCTTGGTTTTAAAATGAATTCACATTTATTTTCTTTTTTTCTGGATGATAGGGAGAAATACAGAAAGTAGGTGGGCAAAGGTATCAGTTGAAAGAGAAAACCTGGCCCATCACTTTGTGGGAGCCCGCTGTGCATCCACAGGGTGCCAGCCAGAGGAAGGGAGGGACTTCAGGTAAGGACTTGGAGAAAGAGAGTCAATGGCTTCAGATATCAGGATAAACTGCAACAAGTGAGTTACAGCTTCACGTTACTTCTTGTTGCACACTTAACTAGTTGAATCTGAGTGGCTGACATGATGTCCAGGGGACAAAGCATTTTACCTTTTCAGTATATTGAATTATGCTATTATATGTTGAGAAACAATTGACTTCTCACCCCTGAGTATAGATATTTGTATATATCCTAGATGACAATCAATCATTTACCTGTTTCTGCTATTGAAATTATCTGCCAGAGATGGCAAGGAGACAAACCGGGGGATGAGGCACCAAAGCATGTGTGCATTACATACCCGTATGGTATAAGAGAATTTAACGAGCCTCTCTTATGATCTGTGTCCAGCCCTATAAAATGTGGCCTCCAAAGCACTACTGCAGCTATTTCAGGCTCCTGCCAAAGGATTTGTAGTAAGAGCTTAGTAAGATACATGATCCATCCCAGTACTTATGTGATGATTTCACTGGTGTAGTAACTGTGTATCTAACATAAAGAGCTGTATCTAACATCAAGTTGTGGGGGTAAAAGTATGAAACGTAGGAAAGTGGGTCCCAGGTGTGTGATCAGCTTTTGTCATTTGATTCAGAAAACACCAGATCCAGCCACTGCAGATTCATTCTCTTTTTCCCATTTCTATCCATGCAAACACCCTTAATAAATTAAACTTACTCAAAGCAAGGAGCAAAAAATTGGAAACAAGTTAACTAAGAATATATATATTTTTTCTATGCATGCGTTTTGATAGCTAACACTGTTAAGTCTGATAATTGATGCCTTTAAGCTTGGAAAGATTTTCAAGAGAGTAGTTATAGTACCACTTAAAGGATCACTTATGCTGAAAGAAGGATGAAGTAAAATTAAAACAGGGGCACCCATTAGGAAAGTAATAAAAATGTTGTTACTTGTTTACAGTCAGAATGACAAGCAAATGGAATGGTGAGAAATCAGTCAGATAATAAAGTAATAAAGTGATTATAGTCTAAAACCAGGAGACAAATTCTTGACATTCATATGTTTGTGACTGTCAGTACCTGCCTGCTCTGAATAAGAGCCTGAACTTCAACACTTGCATTACTCTACATGGCTGCTGCAAAGGATTTCTGCTCAATTGCTTGGCCTCCATTGTAAACTCTCTTACCCTGAAGAGGCCATTCCTCCTTTTCAATGCTGGAAGGAAGCTAAAAGGCATGCTGGGGAGTAATTCACTCATCTAACGCAGCAGAATCAATACCTAGAAATTAAATAACATACTTATTAATGCTAATGCTTCTCTGAGAGACAATTATCTATGAATTACTTATCCTGATTAAAATATGTTTCAAAGGAAGTGTATTTCTAAATTGAAACAATAAAAAATGATTCATGAAATATCACATGGAAGAAAATTTCCTGATATGTTACTAAACAAAACAAATTATTATCAGAAGTTAGCAATAAGGAAAGGAGAAAAAAAAAAAAAAACGACAACAACAACAACAGCAACAACAAAACACCTATATACTAGATTGCCTTTATTTAAGACCAGCACAACACTTGAAACTGTTAAGAGTCTCCCTTGGAGTAAATGACTACAAATGCATTTAAGAGCTGTAAATGGCTGAAATGTAATCTAGCCTCATGTGCAGCTCCCAGTCCTGACACCCATATAGCCTCTGGTGATTCAGAGCTTGGTGCTCACCCAGACTGCATGCCCTGCTTCTCCTTCTGCAGGGATGAGTCTGAGGGACCATACACCACAGGGACCAAGTCTTCTTTCCACTTGAGTAATTCAGGTGGAAACACAACAACTCTTGTGAAGTTACTCTACTGCAAACCTGAAGAAAGAAGTCTTCATTTTTACTTCGGAACATTTTCACCAACTCAGATCAAGCCTTCACTCAGATTTACAAAAGTTGTTTGTCTCTTCTCCCTCATAAATGAGCTGCCAGACCATAGCAAACTGCTATCAGCTGTCACATTTGCTCTTGTGTTGAACTTGACTAAGAGGCTGGAAGAGATCTTTTGATTAAGGGATTTTGGGCTAAAAGAATCATGCTACAATATCATCTATATAGTGGGATTTGCATTGATTTATTAGCAAACATGCACAGAAATAACACTGGCTTTGCAGATCAGGATGAGAGGGTATGCCTTTTCTGTGGCCAGTGTTTGCCATGAAGAACTGCTGTGGCACTGACCAAGACAGGGCACATGAGATCTCTGATGCTGAAACCTCCTCTGTGGGACGCATTTTGAGTGTAAGATTTTGGAGTCTTGAATTTCAGGAGCCAAAGAAACCTGAAAACCATCCCTAAATCTGCCATACAATATTCTCTGTGTGAAGTTTATTTCCAGTCAAAGTTAACCGGGAGAGACTAACAGCGGTTTTGGTCCCTCTCCAGTTGCTCATGTGTACTGCTGAGGACTAGGACTCAAAACTCAGCTCAGATAAAACGCTACCACCCAAAACCAACGGTACAGAGCTTCTATACCCTGATAACCATTTTAAATCCATCACTTTGTTAAAGGAAAATATTAAGTGAATAAATGGGCCTACTAATGTAAAGTACATCGTTGTAGTGGTTTATGGTGGCCCCAAAGAGGCTCATGTCTCCTTTGAGGTGAGATGTGCCAAACCATGCACCAAGGGCTGGGCCAGGCAGAAGAGTGCCATATGCTGTGACACAAATATCCCTCAGGTGGTACTGGAGATGTTGTGTATTGCCAATAGAAAGTCGTGGAATATAGGGACCGGTTCTAGCAATGTCTGTCTTTGCATTTGTCCTGTGAAGTCCCCTGTATTTGGCTTGGGACACATAATTTATTTTTACAATAGCAAAATAAGCATTGTTACCTTTGGTTATGCTTCTGCTTAAATATCTAGGTATGTCACTTTGGCCCAGAAAAGAAGACAATAGAATCTGACAATCAGATTCCAGTTCCTTTCGGTTCTTGAAAGAAAAATATTTTATTGGAATTCAAGAAATCAGGTGCAAGAGAGCACCAAGAGCATTGTAACACACCCGCTGCACAGCATCACACAGAATAACATGAAAAGACGAGATGTCATTTGTGATGACAGAAAACTGATAATGTGCAGTGGCGAGAAGCAGCAAACGGCCTTTTCAGAGCACGGAGGAGACACAAAGTTTGGTTACAGAAACAGCCGGAAAACCTCTTTTTTTATTTTTATTTCTCCCCCAAGCTAACGAACTTCCCAACGCGTCTCCTTCGCTCGCCGCCCTCCGGGGGCGCTGAGGCGGCGGCGCCCCCCGCGGCTCCCCTCGCCTCGCCTCGCCTCGCCTCGCCTCAGGGGCGCCGCGCCCGCCAGCAGCCGTTGGGGAGCGACCGTTGGGGAGCGACCGTTAGGGGGCAGCCGTTGGAGGGCGGCCGTGAGGGGGCGGCCCCGGGCTCTGCGCCCCCTGAGGAGCGGCGCTGGGGCGCCGAGGGGAAGAAGAGGAGGGAGGAGGCAGCCCCATGGCGGAGGTAAGGGGGGCGGCGGCGCGCCGTGCTGGCACTGCCGCGGCGAGGGAGCGGGTCCGTGCCCTGAGGTGAGGCGGTGCCTCGTTTTGTTAACCCAGGGGCTGGCTTTCGAGGCGCAGGGGCAGCGAGGGTTGGCTCAAAATCCCCCCCCCGGTGAGGGCACTGCCGTGTCCCGAGCGTGGTGTGTGACCTGCTGGTCGGGATTGCAAGGTGAGATTGCAACTTTCGCCTTCACTCGGCGTTTCCCCCTGAATTGCCCGCTTTTTCTTCATGCGGGCATACAGGCAGCTCGGGAATGTAAAAGAGTTGCAGAAATACTGCTTCTCCACAGTGTCACAGCTATCGACTTAACCCCACGGATCACCTCTTGAAGGGCACATGTGTGTCACAGTCTTGTCTTTAGGCTTGCCAGTAACATTTCTCAGTGTCACTCTTCTTACAGTGCTGTGGCTAAACTTTAGCCTCATATCATCTGCCTGCGTTATCAGTGTGGCACCTTTAAAAAGTAAGGTAGGCAATGAATGCCTGGTGGTGATGGCCAGTTTCAGTTGCAGAGGATGCAGTTCTTACTGCACTTCTGTCTGTTCGCCCCTGCTCAGACCCCACACGCATGGAAGTGTTGTGCACATCTGGAACTTAAAGGAGATCAGCAGAGCCATTCAGCTGCAGGGACTGCTTTTCTGGATCGAGTCACTGGCAGGCACAGAGTTTCGTTATGCCTGAATAATTTATGATCTAATTTACGATCCGATACTTCTGTGATACCCTCTGCAGATAGAAAATACGCAGTAATGCCAAGAAGATGGTCTTGTAACCTAGAAGGATAATCAGTATGTCTTGAAATCTCAAGTCGAACTACTGAGATTTTTCAAGTTGATTTTGAATGATTATGAATACCTGTGCTTATTATGAATTACAGGACCTGCATCAACTAATACTTGCTAAATTTGTCTTGTATAGTAGGTTTTCATTTTTCCCTTCCTTTTTTTTTTCCTCTCTCTTTTTTTTTTTTTTTCTTTTTCTATTTCCCCGTGTGTTCACTCACTTGGCTAATTTTTTGAAAGGTAGTTGCAAAATTAGTTTCCACACCCTAATTGTAACGGATCACTTGTTTCTGTTGAGAGATGATGAATTTCTTCGCTAAATGTGGGTCTGGATCTCTCTCTTTAATGCATGTTTTTTTTAAGTTGAAAGAATGATTGGACCAAGGCATGGTAGTGTTAAGTTCTTAAGCTAAGATATAAATGGACTTCTAAGTGAAAACTACCATGTCTGTTCCATCAGGTTTCTTTCAAAGTGCATGACAGGTCCAAAAAAAGAAATGCAAAGGGAAAAGTTGATCTTAGTTTTAAAGCTGACCTCTGTAAGTTTGAATACATCTACTTGTGCTGTCAAAATGTTATTGCAACAGAAGAATGAATTTCAAAGTGTTCTTGCTGATTTATAACCTTTATTTTGCCTTTTGTAAAAGTATACCAGAGGTATTATTAGCCTTTCTTTTATCTCTGTTAGATCAGGGCCAGACTTAGGGCTATGTGTAAACAGATCAAAGTGATGGTTTTGTTCCGCTTGTTATTGCGTGATTGCTAACTTATCAAAGCTTTACACAATCAGATTAATCCACTCCCGGATTCATTTCATTCATTGGGCTCTTGGGAATGTTGTTGGCAACACCATGGGAACTGGTGATTCTCATCCTTAGGGAACTGGTATTTCAAATGACTCTGGAAGACGAATGCAGATGAAAAAGAAAATGAATTCAGTGGCTGAAATAAACAGTTTGGGCATGCTGAAGTGTGTGGGATTGCTTTACTTTTTTTTTTTTTTTCTGTGCTAAGACGTAACGCAGTGTTATAAAAGTTTGAGCACTTAGTCTGACAATGAGTAAAGCTAACAGGTGTGTTTCTGCATTTAGCTTGCTGCCCAACAGACTGAGATCAGCTCTCACCTTTGTATTAACTGTTTTAATCAAACTATTTCATTCAGCCCAACCTCTGTAATAGAAGTTTGCTAATAAAATGTAAACTCCACAATGCTTTTTATTACATTGGTAATAAAAATAACAAAATACATTTCTTCTGAAATATACCTTTTAACCAGAAAAATAAACATATGATCTCAGTCTTGCTGCCTGCTTTCTTAGATGGATGTATTTAACAGGGTCACGAAAGAGTGTTTGTACCAAAGCTGAGACAGAATTAAAAACAGTTTTTTATTCTGAATTCTATACTCAATTCACTGTCCTGCATTACTGCAGGTCATAACAGATGGTTTGTAGATCTGTTCATAGGGCTCAGGATATAGACTGTGGTCTTGTTTTTTTAAGGAAGAATTTAAGTTGGAACCACTTACACCTTAAATGCTGACAGTGTATTCTGTCTGTTTGAATTCTGCTGTTGAAAACCCGTTTTTGTTGCCTGCTCACACAAGGAGGTCACATTTGGTAGGTTATTGACCTACTCATACAGGTAAAGACAGGGAAAAAATAACCAGACATTCCTGTGTGCTTGCAAATTATTATTGGATTGCTCAAGGAATGAGTTGTAATGAAAATACTAAATTGAGACACTATGTGGGGATGTACATTTTAAAGTTTTAAGCATAGAAAAAGCAATAAAACATACAAGAAAAAAAAAAAAAGACATGCAGCTGACACGGGATGTAGATGTGATACCCATGGGAAAAGGAGATAGGCTATCCCACAGGCATGCAACCTGGGATGCCGTCCACACCCCACTGTGCCAAAAGAAGGCAGTGATCTCCTTAGGCTTCCCACTGTAAACCTGCGCTGACAGCGCTTCTCGAAGCTGTCAGGTTGAGCCACAGGCCCGTATGCAAAATGAACAAGATGGGTTTTCCAGAGCAACTTAGAAACTGTGCGTGTGGAAGTAGTAGGCCATGGTGCTACCAGATGTGTGTAGCATAGATAGAGGTCCAGTGTAAATGGTAGTAGTATTAGCAAATCCATAGAAAGTCGCAAGGAGCTTGTAGTACAGAGTCTTGGCCAAATACCTTGCAAGAGTGAAGAGCTGCCCTGCTTGATTCAATACTTTTTTTTCCCCCTGTCTATCTGTGTACAGATAGTTCATGTGTATATTAATGTGTCTGTATATTTATGCAGACATGACGTGAAGAAAGGGAGTATAAAATTTGGATGAGTTCTTTATCTCTCAAGGAATATACACGGGGAATAATTTAGATTACCAGGGATGGACTATGGAGCTCTTCAGTTTATCTGTGGCCTGAATCTCATCGGAAAAACATTTTTATTTTCCAAATTACATGAACCCCCCAAACACTGATGCTGCCCATGTCAGCCAATGAGTCAATCTCTGAGTGAGGGCAGCAGTTGCAGTGCTGGGTCATTGTGCAGTACAGTACATAGGGCAGACTCCAACTTGGGGCGAGACAGAGAAGGAAGTGTCGCGTTAAAGGGGTGTAGCTGATTAACCGTTACGGGCCCGGTTGGATTCAGAGTACTGAACCAGTCGGACATTCACCAAAACTGGGGGTCCGTTCGGACATTCACCAAAAACGTAATAACCACCTGGGGGTCCGCTCAGACATTCACCAAAAACGTATTAACCACCTGGGGGTCCGTTCAGACATTCACCAACAATGCATTAACCGTCTGGGGGTCTGGTTAGATTCAGAACACTGAACTATCACGGATAACCACCCTCACCCTAGTTGCATTAATGAGAGCTATCACAATGCAATCAAGTATGGTTTATTACAGCAACAGATAATCAGGTTCTTTTGGATTGCCGGTGATAGTGACTATCTGCAAAAGCAAGCTAGTATGCATGAAATACACAGGTGTTACAGGTGTTCTAGGTGTGGGTTCTAGGTGTGGGTTCTAGGTATGGGTTCTAGGTGTGGGTTCTAGGTGTGTTCTAGGTGTGGGTTCTAGGTGTGGGTTCTAGGTGTGGGTTCTAGGTGTGGGTTCTAGGTGTGTTCTAGGTGTGGGTTCTAGGTGTGGGTTCTAGGTGTGGGTTCTAGGTGTGGGTTCTAGGTGTGGGTTCTAGGTGTGTTCTAGGTGTGGGTTCTAGGTGTGTTCTAGGTGTGTGTTCTAGGTGTGGGTTCTAGGTGTGGGTTCTAGGTGTGGGTTCTAGGTGTGTTCTAGGTGTGGGTTCTAGGTGTGGGTTCTAGGTGTGGGTTCTAGGTGTGGGTTCTAGGTGTGTGTTCTAGGTGTTCTAGGTGTTACAGGTGCGCAGCCTAGAAATAAATGCGTTAAAAGGATCAAAGACTCTATAGAGATTTATAAGCAAATATTCAGATCTCACCCAAAGGCGTCCCAATGGGGGGGGAAGAGAGGCTCAGCCCGTCGACTGATCCCAGGAGTCAGGAGGTTCTAAGGATGTTGTATGTCCTCGGGATGGTATCTCCCCTGACGATGGTATCTTCCCTAACATCCCCTCTCTCTTGGGCCAATTTATATTATTTTCTATCTTTTAGGTGGAGCTTGAGTGGCTCTAGTCAAGCATATCTTAGTTATGATTGGTGTAAAGTTTTCCCGTCTCCGTTTAAAGTAATAGGCTCCGAGAAATTCAGAGCGCATGCTCAGTGAGGGGTGGTCGCACCTTGGAGGTGGGTAGCTTTTGGGATGGAGGTGTGTTTTGGTATTATAATGATATTATAATGAGCAAAAAGTACACTAGGGTACAGCATTTGTCAAAACATGACAGGTCTTTGGCTTAGGGTGGCAAAAAGTGCAGCTTTGTGCACAAGAACAATCGAGGCCCCACCTGATTACAGAGCCTAGCCGTGGTGTCTCCACTCCACTCTACGCTCCGTGGTGTTCCTTAGAGCTAGCACACCAAGTTTCCCCAGCGCGATAGCATCTAAGGTTGGGAGCCTAGGGAATGCTCAGGTAATGCAGTTATGCCCTACCCTGAAAGCCTCTTCAATGCTGTACCTTTTCCTTAAAAGTGTGAATGTTAGTTTTATTTTCCTAGTTACTTCAGGCATTTACACCACAGGAAGTCTGCCCCCACCCAAACCAAAAATATTTGTCGTATGTGGATGCATTACGTTCTGTACAACAGATCACAAAGCCCTTTATAAGGGCTGAACTCTGGTGCTAGGTTGAAGATTGTCTGCTGTGTTTAATACTTAACAGCATAACGTTGCTGTTGTTTATAAACTAATAAAGTTAAGGAAGAAAATGTACGGTGAATAATTCTTATTGTTTGCACTGTAATCACTATGTTCATATTTTGGCAGGGCATTTTGAGCAAGATATATAAGACTGTTACAAGCGTAGGTTTTTGAACACAGTGCAAAGGCAGAATTTCACAGTATTAAAAATGGATTGGATGCAGTGAATCCGTCTTGGATTTTGGGCACCATTTCAAATATTTACACTGACTGAGAATACTTTGAGATACATTGTTGTTGTTCTGTTTTGTTTTCTTGGAAGGTATCAAAACTTTGTTTAAAAAAAAAAAAAAAGGAAGTAGAAACCAGGTAGGCTTTTTTTCTGAAAGCTTTTCTCACTTTGAGAGCAGTCGCACGGAAGAACATTTTTTCAATTTTATTTATTTATTTATTTTTAACTTTTTAGAGACTAGGATATAATAATATTGCTGTGGAGCAATATTACTGTCTGCAAGTAGATGAATGGCACTGGTTTGTGCATTGGATGACTCTTCCATATTAGCCAGAACTTACCTAGGTTTAATAAGAGGGTGTGTGAAGGGCTGAGTGATTTCAGAGAGAAGTGGGCTAAAAGAAGAACCTCACACATTTGAGGTCTTTGGAGATTGTGATCTTGATTTTCATTACAGTGTGCTGCAGAAAGTACGAGGGTTTTAAAAAGTCAAGTCACATAGGTGGCCAAGAGGAGTGTCGCCAAATGAGTGTTGTGGGGCTCACTTATACCACGATTTTCCTGGTACCTGGAGATAGGGGAACATATTCTGCGTGCATAGTGTGCATGAGAAGTGTACATGAGAGGGGATGAGGAGAATAGCATGCACGAAGAAGAAAGAATTAGCATGATGAGCGTGGATAATAGAAGAGGAATTATGTATTGTGGGAAAGGAGATGTCATGATACTCACATCTCAGAGGAGCTAGGATATCAGACTGTGGATTTTAACAGCTCTCCCTATTCAGATCCTATTCAGAGTTGGCAGGGCATTTGTTAACTGTAGTGAGATGGATAACTTAAGAAAGTTATGAGCTGGGTACTTGGAAAAGTATATTAGCCTTCAGGGATCAAAAGAAAGATATCTGAAAAATGGAACTGAGTTGTGGACAAAGTTTTATCAGAAGGGGTGTTCCCTGAATGCTTTTGTGTTTATTCAATGCATCATTTAGTGATTATGTTGTATTAATGAGAATATACTACCGATGCAGCCTGCATAAAGGTGGAGAAAGTCTCATATAGAATGCCAGTATTGACCACAATAGAAAGCGTCTTGGGACAGCAAAGGCATAAAAAGAGCTCTTTTTTTGTTTGTTTGTTTTTAAACTATACTTAGTCTGGAAGAGTGACTGAATAAATGTAATAACCTTCATATCAGGCTTCCTGTCAGAGGTGTTGCATGCCTTAGGATAGATTCAATTGCTGTTGCAAAAGCTCAGCACAGGACCAAATAGAGTGTGAATGTGGTTTATGTTCTAGAAGTGGTTTAGAAGATGGATATTTAGGGGATATCAAACCATCTTCAAGTCAGCTTTATGAAAACTGATGTCTTAATATAAATTAGTGATACAATTTGTGTCTGTGTGTTCATCTGATACCCATCTGTGCCTCCATTCTGGAAGTAGGTTGGTGCTAATTCCGTGTATGTGTTGAAGATGGAGAGTGCAGAGTATGTCTGTTTTATAATGCCCAACATAGCTGAGCCATGCTCTGTAAAGTTTTAGTGCTTTAGTTTCAGAAATGCATGTGGCTAGGTTCTAACAACTCCCTGAAGCAAGTAGGAGTGTCTTTAACTGTTTGCATTTGTTTGCAGCAAAGGTAGTTAGGGTTTTAGATAGTAGGGTTTAGAATAGACGTCATGGAGATTTGACAGGTGCCACATTTGGACTCACAGTTCTGCAGTTTGATTTACTTAATCGAATACATTATTTAGTTAGCATGGCTTTAGTGTCATTTTTAAGC